GTGTTTTATAGCATTGAAAAGGGAAAGGATTACTGATGGTAAAGAACCTAATGGGTTTGAGCCGGTATACTGAAACGTGACTTAACTTCCTGCTATTGTGACATACCCTACACTAACTCCAGCCTCTGACAGGATTACATTAAGTAACGATCAAAGAACAAGAAACTTGCCACTCAAGCAGTCTTCACCGACAGACTTCTCTGAAGATAAATGCTGCTACAAGGCTCCAGGAAGATTTTTACATGATGCAAGTACTAAGATGCTGTCCATAAAACTTAGTATTATAATAAATCTTTTAAACCTCATCATCCTCTTACAAGAGGTTTTTCTAAATACACTTAAAAAAAAAAAAAAGTAAATTTGCATCTCTGAGAAAGGGGATTACTACCAAAAGTTTGATACCCGTTTCTTCATTCTGTTCAAAAATGAATAACTGAAAAAAACAACCTTGTCACGACTCCATGGAAATACGCATTACATCACACATGCACTACTTCAATGCAAATATTCTTCATTTCAAAAAAATCACAGTGAGAAGAGAGCTGTCAAAAGGGTATGTAGGCAACAAATCAGAAAAAAGTCTTATTGAAATGAGAAAGGATTTGAGTTTACAGGATGGATGGTCATGTAGAAACTCGTACCAAACTGTTAAACCTCGTTTGGTTTTGATCACTGCAAGAAAATAAGTGCCAAACTTACTAAGGTGGGCTTTTTTACTTGTAAAGCACTTGAACCACCTCTTTTCCAATTGCTTGATCCAAGATCAAAACAGCAATTGAACTTTTGTGAAAGCACCAGAACTGTCGTTAAACACTTTGTCTACATCTGGTTTAGTCTAGTTTTGTAAGCACCTGCTGTATGGTCACAGAAGTTGGGGACACAGTCAAACTAAGATCACCACAATTACTTTTTTCTTTTGTAATTCAAAAAAGATACAGTTGTACTACTTATTGGGCTGAGGACTAGAAATAATGAAGTATTTATCTCAGTTCTGATAATGCCCTGCTGCATGACCCTAGTTCCTGCCTGGGTTCTTATCTACATCGCAGACAGGAATATGCAGAGTGCAAATATCCAAAAAGATATGCAATGATACTAACAAATAAGACTTGAAGGAAGAGCAAGCACAATTAATACCAATGGCACATTTATTTCTAACCCTTTAAGTTTGAGGAAAGGCTTTCTCCAAATGACTCCAGCTGCACTTCTGCCCCACAGTCAGGACGGCACCATGGGGACATCCCGGATGCAGACGGTTCTCAAGCGACAAAAATGAAGAGGGAAACCGAGGCCAGAAACGCCCAGGGATAAAGAGGAATGGCACCGTGGGGTTGCTCAGACCTACCCCAGGTAGACGTGGGCTCAGGCTGCCACCGTGGCTTCTGCCTTGCGCGTGGCCCACCACGACGGAGCCACCTCCTCCGTCACTGCACGGGCAGCGGTGCTACCTTGTGTCCTGAACAACACGTGGTAGTGTTTCGCCAAATACACGTTCAGCCCCTGGATCTTGCCGGCCAGCTGTGCTGTAGAAGGGAAAATCCCAGCAGCAGCAGAACCTCAACGCAGCTGCTGGGCACCCTGCAAGGGGAAGCCAAATCTCAAGCTGTTCACCTGCCGAAGGAGAGCGGGTCCAGCATACTTTCTTGCATATATGTATTGCCAGAACAAATTCACATTGTTATGCACACTGGAGTTATAAACAAATATAAACCTGTTCAGTTTGAGTGAGCAGAAAGAACACTGTCAGCATATGCTCACTGTGTTTTACTGAAAGAAGGAAAAGAAACCCCAAAATTTAATACTTATTCTGCAGGAGAGTGGTACACTTGTGAAACAACATTACTCTATGTACCACAAAAATGTAGTAAAGGAGTCTGAATGATAACTCCTTCACCAAAAAAACCCAACGAGATGATCCACTTTTAACATCAGTTCATTCAAGGGGAAAAACAAACAAACAAACAAACGAAAATTGAAGATACTCTAAACAATCTGAATGTCAACTATTGTGAAGATATACAATTAAATTAAGTGCTAGGGCCTTTTATTTAAGTAAGAAGCACAGGAGAAAGGAAGAGCTTCGAAGCTGGTAACAATTATCTAATGTATTGAAGTATCCATATACAAATCTTTATTTCATGGCCAATCACAGGGATTTCTACAGTAGGAGTTCCAGCAACACCATCCCAGGGCTCCACGTGAAAAGCAGATGCAGTGTCACGTCACAACCTAACGGGTAATGTTTCATGAAAACAAAGATTAAGCTTAATCATGAATACTAATCATAGTATATTTAATGCACACAGGTTTACATTTTAAGGAGTTAATGGAGACTGCATAGATAATTCCTATTGAAAGCAAACACAAGAAATGCTCTATTTAATCATGAATGGAAAAATTCTAAGCTGGGATAAAGCAGCACCAAATTTCAATACCTACAGGATCTAATCTTTCTTTAGAAAACAGAAAACTACCTGTATCTGAGAGATTAGGTGTTTATAAACTTAACATCGAGCCCTCTAACCTCACACCACTGGAGCCCAACCGAAGGCCCTGCAGAGCGGCTGCGACCACCGAGCCCTTTCCCGCGCAGGCAAGGCCACAGAGGGTCCATCAGGCGGCAGCTGTCGGGGAGCGCTCAGCCACAGGGCCAGAGCCAAACCCAACACTGCGCTGACTCACCAGCCTTATGCCAGGGAGGAAATCTGCTGGCGAGGTTGTAAAGAGCTTTCCCACTCTGGCAGAAAACGTTATTGCAAGTTCTTGCTGAATAAAAGTTTCCTTGAAAACCCCTCGTCGTTACCCTGCCCGTTCTCACATGGGCTGCCGTGAAGGGTTACATTATAAAGCCTGCTTTTCAAGACCATCGGGAACCATCGGCCATATATGAGCAGACTCACAGAGGGAAGAGTTAAACCTAGGCACAGAGCAAACCGTACCTCAGAAAAATGCGTTATTTTATCAGATTATAACGGAATACAGAAACATATAGGCACCCAATTTTTATTTACTTGTCAAACAGGTGGCTGGTTACTGTGTTTTGATTTCTTAGTCATCTGCTGAGTTACAAATTACTTTTCGCTACACCAAGTAGTGTGAGTATGACACTTTCCAATTAGGAGCTCAGAGTCTACAAAGCAAGGACTGGTATTTCAATTCAGACTGCTGAAAACCCAACAGCTTGCAGATTTTCTATCAGAGGTGGCTGTTTACTCCTCACCACTTAGCACTCGCTCATGCAGGAGAACACCTAGCAGTGTTAACAGGACTCTTTTTATATATTCCTAATTAACTGCCATAAAGGCAGATTTAGGAAATGTTCTGTTGATTTGTGACGTTTATACCATTTCCCATCAAATGCTGATCAAAATATAAGTATTCATAAATCTGAGGAAGCCACCAGATTTGCAACATGAAACTACCCATGCAGACACACGCGTGCACTCTGTGTGGTTGGCAACATAAAGAAATAAACCAATATGAAGAAAAATCCTAACAAGGACATAATTTGTCAACTAATCACTATCAGGTGAATGTACCACACTGTTTCCTTGCTTCATCTCTGAAATCATTCAAGAAGCCATGTAACTTAGACCAAAGATACCCAGTCCCTTCTCCTGGACCCCTCCAAGCGAGCTGCACAGGTAGCACCGGCATCGGCTGCTCCTGATTCTCTTCCTCTTAGCACTGAAGTCTGAGAATTATTTTCTGTGTGCTTATTCACTGTCACAAACACCAAAGAGAAAGAGACAGGTTTTGTCATACCCAGACTGGAATTTAATTCCCAATAAAGCCTTATGCAGCACTGCCCAGAGCTTGAGGATTCAACATCTCATTTCATCAAGAACTAATTCAGACTTACTAATCATAAAATCCAACATGTGACAGTTCTTGAAATGAGATGGCAGAGGACATTAAACTTCAAGCAGCACATTCTCTTCCTGTCACAGCAACGAGGGCTTTTCTGCGTACAAGACAAATGCCAAAGTAACCTCTACTCACAGGCACGCTAACCCTGTGGAGTCCAAAACCACCACCTGCAATCCAACAGCTACCAACATGCAAAAAACCCAGCGGTTTTTTCTGAAACAGAGGAAATCTTTTAAGTTTTTATCTAACGGCACACATCAGATATCGAAGTGTATCAACTAAGAGAAGCCTTGTACCTTTCCAGGAGATGAAAAGGAAGATGAGGAAAAAAAGGGGAGAAACTGAATTTGTTTTTTCTTTTCTGTGCAAGAAAACAACTCCAGGTTTGCGTACTTCAACGGTAGTATTTTTTTTAACATTGGATTTTCAAAGCAAATCAAAGTATCCAGAACAATTGTTTTCAATTAAATAATTTGTCTGGATCACACGTATATCCTGCTAGCAAGCAGGAAGTCTGTATGTGAAAAATAATGGTAACAAGAAACCTTCACAGAAGGATTGTGGCCCTGAAACCACAGCAGTACGTGCCTTCACACAGCGCAGATTATATACTCTGTGATGTTATTTAAGACTAGCAAATGAGTTACCGTTACTCTCTTTGATGCTTGAATTACCACTATACTATTTTTAAGCAAGTAAACACGACCACGTACAGTAGCGTTAACACTGTACTGAACTGCACTTGTGACTGACTTAATTCCAAACCGCAGTTAAAATTTATTAAGGAAAAAACCAAAATCACACATCACTCCATCTTACCAAAAGACCTCCAGGTAAAACCAACAAAAGCCAAGAATGACCATTTCTCTGTCCAGCCAACACATTAAGATTTATTTATAAGCACTCAACTGAAAACTCTTAAACCAAAAAAACCTTTTTCTAAGTAGTGCCCGAATCTTCACTCCCACCTATGGCGTTCAAATCCAACGCACTCTACTGCTCCTCAACAAGAGCAAAAAGCATTCTCAACAGTGAGAAACAAGGGCTACTTTATCTCACTGGAGTTCTCAGACAGACAACGCAGCAGCCAGCCGCGCAGACGGCGCGATGCCAAGGGAGAGCAGACTCACCGACAGGTAACTGCTGGCATCCACGTTGTCGGTGATGGTCTGACGCTCGCCCCTCTGGTTGATCTTCCGAAACCTCCGCCGGGACTGCCTGAGCGGGACTTCTCTTTGCAAGATGTTTTCCTCATTGTCCTTGGAGTTCTCCACCTGAAACACATGTTCAGGCTCCTGGTTAAACATCCAGTTCTTCCATAGCGCCGACAGCCGATGGAGCCGTATGAAGCTCATGAGGAAGGAACACACATAAGTTCAGGGCAGTTAAACTTTTCACAAGAAAACGACTGTGGCCGTTTCGGAGAACCACTGCTGCATGCCTCAGAACTACGTTATTACAATGAGCTGGAGGCCACGGTTTCCTTCCAGGAAACAGGGTGTTGTTTTTTTTTAAAAAAAAAAAAAAGTAAAAAGGCACACGTATCCTCTAAACAAGGTTACTCACCAGCAGAAACCCTTTTGCACCCACACAACCTACAACACGAGTTACAGGCACAGCTCATTTCAAGTGTACCTTCAACACACAAGTTACCATTTCTTTGAGTATTTACAATCCGGTAAGTGCACTAAATCATATCCTATTTTTATTGGTGTAATTTTAAAAAACATAACTTATTTCTAGCACCAGTGACAGCTAAAGAACTTTAAATATTCCAGCTTTTTATAAATAGCTACTTCACCTATGTCACACTGACTTCTGACCGCTTCTAGCGGATCATGAAGAAACGTGATTCATACCTTGATGTTAAATATTATTTGTGACTAAACATTAAAAATTAGGTAAATTCATCTTGCTAGTAAAAGCCAACATGAGACCTTTTAATGTCCCTAGTTACAACTGCTTTCTTCTATAAAAAGCAGTCCCATCCTTTCCCATTTCCTTTTGATGTTTTGGAAAAACATCTCCTAGCAGGAAGCAGAACAGACGTGCATGCCAACAGGCTGCAGCCGTGCAAGAAGCTCCTCTACAAAACATTTACTGTAGAGCAGTTTCTGCTGTCCTCAATGATTATTTGGTTGGTTTTTTCCCGAATTTGACTTGAAAATCCTAACCATAAAGCCTTAGTACTGGACCAGGAGAACCACCTCTTATGTGGTCTTAGGCAGCCCTCACTTCACATACTTGGCTAAGTGACCTCAAAATCCAAATTCAAAAGGCAGAAAGCAATGAAAACCAGAAAGACTTAACAGACAGGCACAAGGAACCAAAATATCAGAACCATCACAAAAGCAGTATCACATCTACTTTCCACATTGCTTCTTCCAAACAGCTGTCTGTCTGAGGTTAGAGAAAGGTGCAGGGCTGGGCTTGCCTCGTGGGTTATTATTAATTCCACAGAGAAAAATACACATTGACAATCGCAGTTGAAGATACGAGAGCCAAAAGAAGAGTGAACCTCCCATCGCAGTGTTATCAAAAAAGCAAGCAGAAAACCAGAGTTCCCCTAGCAAGGGACAACCACACTTTGCATTAGAATTTTACTACCTGTTTGCAAAGGCACAGGACAACGAGCAATGATACCTAGTAGCAACATAGCTGTAAGCACAATGGCATAAGAATGTGAAAAAACCAAGGTATGCAGGCAGACAGAAATACAAAACCAAACCAAACCACCCCTTATCAACAGAATATTTAGTATCACCAAAAATGTTGTAAGACATTGGATATTAGCAACCCTTTTTCACCTAGAATGAAATATGGATTTCTAGATAGCAATAATGTTGCTCTCGAATTATACAGAAGGCTTCCAGAGGTAGGGAACTCTGGTTCCATACAGTTACTCTACTAAATAACCAAAACTGTGTTGATTTCATTTTCAATTTTCGTATGTGTGCACGTGCTATGGTACATGAGCCACTTGAAGAAACACACCGTTTCTTTCTTTCTCTAGATTCAGCCTTCCAGGATCATAGAACCTAAAGCAAGTGCTGAGCAATGTAACAGGCTGAGGGGACAAGGGCCTCCAGCACCATCAGTATTTTGAGTCCCACTGACCATCGGATTGCTTATGCTTACTATTTACAAGAACCTATACAGATTTGACACCCTGCACATTAACAGGACAGGCAGGCCAGGGCATCCTGACACTGCTCATCACTCAGCTGTGCTTTCACCTGGTGACAACTAAATTTCTGTTGGCAGAGACCACATCCAACCCCCTCACAACCCCCAGGTGGGATGAACGCTCCTACGGAGGAATTCAGCATCTGTGTGGATGCCACGAGCCAGGGCCTGGCGCAGGAGCAGAGGGAGGAACAGCTCCCTGTGTCATTGTGACAGCGGCTGATCAACACACACCGGGCTGCCAGGTCAGATGGACACCGCTGCCCCGTAGACCCCTTCATATTATTTAGTTTTTGGTATGTAACAAGTCTTGAACAGGATGTTAACCAGCTAGCTTCTAATCCAGGGTGTTGGTTTTACTACTCTTGAATACTGGCAGCAGCAGAACGCTTCCACACAGCTTCACCCACAGCACTTGCTGCCACGTTAAAATCAAGGAGGATCATACGACTGTCCCCAATTTCACACCGCAGTCTGCACCAGCAGTGAAGTGTTTTCCACCTCCAATATCATGCTGCTCTTCTGAAATCTTACGCTTAGATCTGAAGAAGAAAATGAAAGCACCAAGGAACAACAGAAAGGACACTTCAGTACACTAAGATATGCTGCAATTCTGTGCCATTTTCTTAAGTGAGAAATGGACCTATTATTAATTCAATAGGTTGCTCAGCCTCCAAAAATATGAGCTAAAATGCCATTCACACACTATCTGTTATCCTCATTAACTTAAGTTGACCGCATTTTATGGCCTTTAAAATGGGTCAGTTCCCAGAGGATTCCTGCTATAAAACTGATTTACATTCTAAAAGGAAAGGAAGAGAAAAAAACAACAACAACAAAAATCAGTCGGGAGCAGAAGATGATGGTATTCTTTAACTACATTAAAGTACCTAATTCTTTTGCTTGAAGATAAATATTCATTATGTATTAAACCTCATTAGTATGTTGCAAATTTAAAAAAGAGAAAATAAAAGAAGATAAATTAATAAGAATTAATCAGGAAAATGAAACTCGAGTACACCTTGCATCAGTGCAGATCATTAGCGAGGTGCATGCCACCACACTGATGCTTTTTTCTCACTCCAACTGGTGCTACCTAGAAAACTGACAGTTAATAGCACCTTCAGCTACATTTACCTGGAAAATAGGAAGAGAAGAACAGTGAAGAAACAACTTGGCACTTTTAGGTCTCTGATTTTCCTAGAGAAAAATAAGACCTTTTCTGGAAGTTCACTATAAGGTACTTCCAGGCATCTCTGTATTCTCAGTGAGATTTATCTACAGTTACAGACAGTTCAGGAGGTTTCCAATACAGAGGACAGCTGTCCAGGTTGAGCATTTGTCTGCAGGACAACTGGCAGCACTTGGCATTGCTGACACGGCCAATGCTGGCTTCTCCAACGACTGTGACAGCATCTGAAAAAAACTCATCACAGTTTTAGTTACTCAAGCTATACACACTCAGAACTCTCTAGCTTTTCCATAAAATATTTTAGTAACGTCATTCTCTCCAGGAGCACACACTGTACAGAAACTACTCTCGTTTGCACCTTCTTGTATTTTCTTTTTACAACGATGGTGATAAGGCGAAACAAGGATGTTGGTATTGCCTAAGAACTTCATATCACGTATTTTGCCCATGGAACATATTTCATGTAAAGTTGCAGATGCGCTTGCAGTGAGTGAGTCACAAGCCAGCCCTGTAAGGAAAGCCACACGCTTCCCAGGCACATTTCAGTCCAACTCTGCTGCAAACAGCAGCTACATCACCGTCTATCAGCAGAAAGCAGCACGCCAGGTCTGGTAACCTCTGCAGCCCCAGCTACAGAAGCTAAGAGTTGTGTAACTGGTTTGTTAGTGAAAATGGTCCAAATAGACCCAATTTCTTCTCTCTGTTACATTAACTTGAAGGATTACAGAGATACCAAAGGTCTAATATACGATCAAGTAAGTGTTTGTCATCCTGTGCTGCAAGACACTGGGGGCACTGAGGCACAAGGTGAGGCTCAGCCCGGGCAGAGGACACGGGCGTACTCAGCACACCAGATCCTTGGCAGCAGCAGTTAACAGGCAAAAAAGCAAAGCAGCAGTGGCAAACCAGCGTGCCTGGGGCATTCACGTGACATGGCTGCACAGATCGTCACCCAGGCAGTCCTGTGGCATCCCTCAAGGCATAAACCTCTCCCCTAAAACTCCAGAAGACTGAGACAAGCTTCTTGCACTCTTATCGGTGCTTACTTCATGACACCAAAGACTGCACCAAAGACTTAAAACATCTGCTGCAGCAAAGAGTGTATTACTGACGCTATCAAAGCCCATGAGCAGAATCAGCCTGACACTGCACAGAAAGAACTGCACAAAAGACAGCAAGTGTACTCGGTACAGGGCATCTCTGATGTCCATGCCTGTTAGTACCGTGAGAACCAAACTTCTCACAGAAGGTGAATGTTCACATACTCAATGAGCAAGAGACATCGCTAAATACTAGTTTTAATGTTATCACATCTAGATGTAAGCAAGCTAAATCAACTGCAGTTTGGAGATCTGCGCCTGCTCAACAGACATGTGGCTTCTCAGAACAACAGACGCTTCTGTTCCAGCTGCACCAGCAGCATCTCGTAAGATCAAAGTCAAAAGATCTTCCCGAGTCCCCAGCCACGCTACAAGGGTACAACGTCAGTCTGCACTATGGAAAAGCAATCCTAGTATTTCAGCTGCTGACAGCACGTGTGCATCAACGTGGGAAGGACTGAGTTACAAGCTGTGACCCTGGCAACATTAGCAAGTATTCTGAAGAAGCAGAAGGAAAGCTGGACATGAAATGTCAATGACAACTAAGCTGAAAACCTTATCCTCCAAGCTTGGCTAAGCACTCTTACGTTCCTTCTCCTCCTACCTAAAAGCCTTCAATGCTGTGTGAAACTGCAAGGAGTACGAGGGCCTTTCCTACCAGACCCAGCATGGCTGGCAGGGCCAGTAAAAACAATGAAATGGGGGAGGAGATGCAAGTAAAATATTCAAGATAGCAGCCAGTCATTGCCTGACTCAGGAACACTCAACTCAGCCATAACTGGGAGGATTTTGAAACTCAAGTAAGCATAATTTTAGAAAGAATGACCTAATCATCATCATCATTCACCCATCTAGATTAAATTTACATAGCTATTGCTGTTATGATAGCAGCCATAGGTATAATTGAAAACAAGACAATTTTGCCACAAATTTATAGAATACTTTACAATAAGCTTTCTGCTATAAAACAGAAAGAATTTGCTGAAACCAGCAATAGATCTAAATACATTTGAAAAATCTGTCTTACCACAATCATTTCTGAAGGCTCCAGTATGATACATTCGCATCCTCGTTTTCCTCCAGACTGCTTGCCAAAACTAGAGTGGAACGGGAAAAAAAGCAAACAACATGAATGCGATGAACAGCTTATTTTACCTTTTCAGTATCAAAAATAATTGGTAATAGTGCATATTACAATGTTACAAGAAAAACAGATGAAAACCAATTTGTGAAAAATTCTAACCACAGTACCATTATCATAATTTTTGTTCATTTATTCGGCACCTCTCATCATAGCTTGCCATGTAAAGCCTAAATATAAAGAATGTTCTTTTGTAAAGTCGTTTTTACTCGCAGATACTCAAAAACCACTCACAAAGCATTTCAGCATTGACAAGAAAACATTAGTAAAAGTTAATTAAGCATTAAACAGGCTTTGTAAAAACAAATATACATAAATTCCAAAAACTCCGAAGTACTTCTATGCACACAGCGTTTTTAATGAGTTCCCTCCACTCCACATCGCCCTTTCATCCTCCCAGCAAACAGGAGGACAGAGAACCTCTTCTCTAAAATTGAGCCTTTGCTTGTGACCTCTGCCTTTATGTTGCTTCTTGTCCCATCACAACGAGCACATCAACATGACAGTTTGTTTAAGAAATATGAAAAAACACAACAGCAACAAAATGCGAAGGTCAATATAATATACGACTAAGGAAAGAGCTGAAAAGCAATGCGATGTGCTGCAGCTAACGGACTCTAAACTCCAACTACCTCCAGGACACTGGAGAACAGAGTTGACTTTAGGGGAATCAGCCCTGGAGAAGGCACCATGCAAGCAGATCTGGGGGTGCTGGAACCACCAGCCAAAAAGAGTTAAGCTAGATACTGCTGGGGGGGTGAGGAGGTGTTACAGACCAATAACCTCTCAGATCACACAATTTATGACTGTAGTAGCACCTGGAATTGAAAATACCTAGCTCCACGTATTAAGTAAGTTTGTCTTCACTACAGACCTGTTAGCCTGAGTTAGGTATGCTCGACCTACCCCACTCAACCCAGCTCCAGTGAAAGTGATCCCGTACAGCCATCAAATCAGAAAAAACCCTACTTGATTAACAGCATCATGGCTGTACTAGCAGTTCAGGAGCTGCAGCTGCTGTGTTACAAACTCAGACTGTCAACAGCAATCACGTTTTAACACGTATCAGCAGGTGAAATAACTGAAGACTCAGTTAACTCAAAGCAGAGACAAATGTGCGAATTAGAAGGCGGTTAAGAGAAGTGAGGAGACAAATCCTAAGAAAGTGGGTCAGCTCCATCTGTTTTCACTAAGGTGATGCTTGCAAAGTACATCTGAAACTTCAGCTACGCAAATCATTTGAGTTGCACACGCTGCAGCAGCCAGCCACTGAACCACCACCACTTGGTAGGAAACATCCAAAAGACTTGTGCCTATAAACTACCTACTAGGGGAGCACACAAAATCCTCTGTAGGGTACCTGTGTTTTCAGGTAAGGAACTTTAGCAACTAAGCTGTGAAGTTACTCAAGCGAATGTTCAGACTATTCCAACAAAGAAATAATTAGTGTAACCCTGTTAGAATGAAAACACTACAATTAACAGGAGCTCGGCAGTTTAAACTGTCGGGGTTTGATCCTGCTGATGGTCTACTGAAAAAAACCCCAAACAAACTTCTAAATTACATGACTGCCATGGAGTCATAAATGACAACTGAAATTTTCTCACCCCATGCTATAGCAGGGCAGAGAAGCACAAGTTTCACACAGAAAACTGGCATTTTCACACATCTATAGTAAGCAACTCATAGCTAAAATTTTCATGCCTTCTTCCATGCTTTTTCCACGCAGCATGTGATCCATGCATGACAGTCCTTTGTGTCTGCAATACACCAAAAAGAACGGCCAAACTACTCCAACGATGACAACAAAGTTAATTTAGTTCAGAAAATACAGAAATGCCATTTTTCACGCAAGCTCTAACTTCGAGGTGAACTGAAATTCCTTCTTATGATTTCTCCAGAAATCAAAACCCGAAGTTAAACCAACTTTGCTAATGCATCCTTTACAACTGTGAAAAAAGGTGAACAGTTCTAAATTTGATTCTATACAACAGAGAACTAAAGACAACAGATTTTATTTCCCCAACAAAATTCTAAAGGAATTGAGTACAACTGGAAGATTCAGTTCTTGCAGCTTTGTAAAACAGAAATAATCATTATTGGTTTTATCACAACATAGATTACTACTATTGCTATTCCCAGTAGTTAGGGAAAAGCTACAATTTTCTGCTGCAGGCTGCTCAAGCACAGGATTTTTATTGCAGAACAACAATTTATCAAAGGACTGGAGGTTGAGGGAGGATTGTTTCACATAAACGTATCTATGAAATTCAGCTACTGTCAAGCTCTCCTCTGCATATGTTGCAACCTTTGCTAAGTAATGGCAGTAAACAATGTTAGGAAAAAACACCGCTCGTGACAAAGATCAAGCTCTTGGCACTATCAATTCTGGTCCATCAAGCACTTTACAATGACCGGACACTCAGAAAAGGATTAGGTTCAAAGACAAAATCCACTTTCCTGATCCTAAAGAATAAACCACTCATATTTACAAGTCAATAGGCCAAGTTTAATTATTTCCTGGTGTGCATCATGGGATGTTTTATCGATTATAGCACCACGGAGCTCCTTCAAAAACTAAAGGTGTCACCCGGGTCTTCCCCAGCCATAACCACCACCAAGTTTTAAAAATGGCTGGGGAAGACCAGAAAATAATTAAACCAATCCAAACATGGATTTTAAACTTTCTTAATGATCTAGTCCATATTTTTCTCTATAATACAAATACTTCTCTATCATTTAAGAGGTTTGCTGACATCAATATACTTCACTAACCTACCAACTTTAATCAAAGCTTCACATCAATGTTCATTCCTAATTGTCTTGAAAAATTACACGATTAAATGTTTAGAATAAACAGAAACTCAGCCTTGAGGCCATTCACCAGGGAATTCTCTTTCTCCACTTGTAACATCCTCTAGTATTAAGAACAGGCAAGAAGAAACTACCAGTAGCAAATACGTAAGCAAAGATGCACGCATGTTTGTCTGTTGACAGAAGGTGGTAATGCACAACACTAAAGTTCAAATATTTGGTTTACTGTCACAGAATTACAGTCTCAACTAGTTCAGGGAAATATATTATGAAAATTTTAAAAAGCCAGAAGCAGAGCGCACGGGTATCCAAGGGAAAGAAAGAGAGAGAGAGGAGGCACAGAGAGGAGCAAGCAGCAGCGTAACAGTCCCAGAGTCATCTAAATCTGCTTTGAAGTGATGGTTAAAGTCTTTATGGGAATTTGAGGTAATCAGCAGTTACTCACTTGTTTTTTTTTAAAAAAAGAAGTAATTTCCAGCATTAAATTAATTAATAACGAGCGTTGCAACAGTAAAAGAACAGCATAATTAGGTTTCAGAGTCACATAGTCATGTCTAGTATTAAACCTGTCATTTTCTAGTTAATAAATATTTACATTACAAACATTAACAGTACTGTACTTACAAAGGTACAAAAACATTCCCGAGATTAATTGATTTCAGTATCGAAATGTAAGAGGATGTTTGGAAACGGAAAAGGTTAAGTTGAAGAAAGCTCTGGAAATGGAGAAGAGAAGATCCTGTTTGGGAAGACAAGAGCAAGTCTTCGTGCGAAGCATTCTTCCATGGGAGAAGAAACATTTTTGTGACAACAAATTACTTTGAGAAGTCTTTAGTCTGCCATTAAATAGCCACCCAAACCTAAAACATGCTGCTTCTCACAGAAGAGAGCTCTGAGAAGTTGCACATCTCATTCTGGAAGAGGGCAATCTTTTCCTCTGGGATTAATCCATCCGTTGCTGTGGTGCCAAGAACACGCAGTGTTGCATGCGGGAGTTGTCATTCCTTAGTCTTACTGGTTACCAAACTCAGCACCTCAACAGACCACCACAACCCCATGAGACTGTGACCACGGAAGTCACTTCAAGGGGCCAGGTTTGCTCCCGGGGACATCCAATCCAACAAGCCCACCTCAACTGGCCATGAGCACCTCAGCTTCCAAACCACAGCAGCAGCTTCTCCAACCATGACACGTCCCTGAACACTGTGTCTTCTTGATGCCACGTGTGGCGAGACACACAAGAAAAGCAGGAAAGCCTCGCTAAGGTATAGCACATTACATGCACTTTAGTGCTTTCAAGCAGGGAGGGGGAAAATGATCCCATCAAGAGTTTCAACTAACACAATACTGAAAACTGTGAGAAAATAGGAAACTAATGTAAATTAAGCTCTACTTAGAATACAGTAAAAACTGTCAAAGGACATACTACCAAAGACACATTAAAGTTTCAAGCGATTCGACAATTAAAATTTTGCTTGATCTGTATATTTAATCACACATATTTTAATAGGGTCCTAAATTTAACATCATTACACTATAGCTTCTCACTGTTGGAAGCCCAGAAAAGTCAGTACTATAAACCACACTACACTTCTTTTATTTGTAATTTTATTGTACGCTTCTGTCACTTAATATTCATCTATTACATCTGCATCATTAATTCTCAGACACACTCACTGGCTTGCAACGCTGTCATGGGGAAAAAATGTCTTCCACATACCAAAGGGAGCTCTGCTTCTCCTTGATTTATGGATGCCTCATTTGCAAGAAACCTTGTTTTCCTCCTGATTCACTGCTATCCATAATTAAAAATACTTAAGCAATTGCATCACGTGAGAAAGGAATGCAAGTTAAAGTGGCACGATATCCTATACCAACCACTAATGGGTGTTCAAGCCACGGGCTCTGACTACAGCAAAGCCCAGTATTGCAAATAATGCAGTTGCCAGTATCAGCTGTGCCACTTGGTTCATCCGTGCCTTCTCCACAGCACCATTTGCTAATACAGAGAAACCCCTCTGTGACTGCAGAGGCAAACTCCAAAATCTTAAATGGGCAAGCACCTGAGTGTGTGCTTGACTTTCCTGACACAGGATGGCTCAAAACTGCTCACTGGAGAGAGCTTTTGCTAACTGAGAACAC